TAAAACAAAGAACCAGCATCACTGTGTATCAAATAGTAACAATACATTTAGTTACGTTCACTTTCAAACGAACAATACTGCATGAAGCCACAAGAATAAGTTTGACTCTAATTTAGTTGAAGTATACATTACGTACAATGAAAATATCTCAAGTACCGTGAGTGCCAAGTTAACAAATCCAAATTCTATATATTAATTTCAGTACTTTTTAAATACGCTAAGCAGATACTATATATTGTTAGAAAAACATCATAAATGTCTGCGCATTACGTTCTCAACTGATTCATCTCTTTAGTATTGCATACATGTACATTCTTCAAATCAAAGGGCTGTTTCATAAGGAAGGTTGAGGGACTTAAAATGAAAATGTTTTGAGTTAATCTAGCTTTATGAAACAGTCCACTGAATTGCTAAAAGTTCAGGCAAGTCATGTACATTCTTCAAATCAAAGGGCTGTTTCATAAGGAAGAATGAGGGACTTAAAATGAAAATGTTTTGAGTTAATCTAGCTTTATGAAACAGTCCACTGAATTGCTAAAAGTTCAGGCAAGATCTTAAAAAAAATGTTTTCACAGGATCAATAAAGACCCAAGTCAGTGTTTTTATCTAACAGAATAAAGTACCCAGCTAACAAAAACAGCTTCTAAGATTGTTTTGCTAATGCTAACATTAAATTATAAAAACGTTTTGAATGTTCTCTAAATGTTCAATATATCCATTTAAAAAAAAATGTTTTAAAAGTTAAGTCAACATTCTGGTTTATCATTTGTAAACACTATGGAAACATTACTTTTGAATGTTCAAACAAGTAGTAATGTTTAAAAATGTTACACGAAGATCCAACTACAATGCTTCAGGAAATAAACACTCCATGAAGAATGTTTTTGTGCTGATGTTTTGAGAACACTATTAAAAGACCAAATAACTGAATGAACATTCTAGTAACACCACTGGAATTTTCTAAGAACGCTTGAATGTTAAAGTTCTGAGAACGTTTCCTGTTAGCTGGGTAACATGGCAAAAGACATTGAACTAACACTGCTGCTAATCACTGGCAGTAAACTTCAGTTTTGACAACGTAATTCTGAAAGATACAGTTCCATGTAAACACAGATACACAACAAATAGTGTGTGAATAGACATCACAAGCAATGGCAGTGCTATGACTCTAGTGCAGTGTTTCCCAACCTTTTTTTAGTCGCGGCACCCTTTGGAAATTTTTACAAATTTGTGGCACCCTACAGAATTAATTTGGTCACAATACTTGAATTTCTAACTTCGATATGATACTTTGAAAAGTATAGATATTCGTTACAGCAGGGAAGAACTGCAGAATATACTGTCATACAGATATTTTTAATATTATTAAATTTTTCATCCATCAATGGTGGCAATCAGTAGGCTAATTTCTAATGAAGAGACCAATTTATATGACAGATTTTCACATAGGCTTTTATTCATATGTAAACTTTGTTTAATTAACATTATAACTAGCTATCTCACAAAGTTTTGCTTACTTAGTGTATTTTTGATTTTACAGTGGGGCAATTTTGTTGCAGTAGCACGAGATAAAAGTAAGCAGTCAGTAATAAAATAAGAACAAATAAAGAAATGACTAATGATAGCACAAATAAAAAATAATAATAGGCCTACAAATGAAATAAACTGCTTTTTAGTTTTTCAGGTAGGTCTAACAGTAGGGCTATTAAGAGAATGTTTTTTTTTTTTTTTTTTTTACCAATTATCCAAATAATGTTTAGTCCTAGAAAGCTATTATTATCAGAACACGTGAGCGTAAATAGCAGTTAGCAGATCAATGAATGAGAGGGTAGCGTTACCAGAGTTGCCCATATACCACACCATGTTACAGTACAGTAGGGCTATTGCAAACAGAAACAATACTGTAGGCCTACTACATAGATGTTTCCTGTCGGCTCGATTTTAGAGTGGACTTTGCTGTTCCGATGAGCATGAACAGGGCCGTAGCTGGGGTTTGCGGGGCCCCGGTGCAGGTTGTACCTGTGGGCCCTGTTTGAAATTGTGTAAATAGCACAAATAAATAAATAGAACAAAGATATAAATTAAGCAATGTTTAAGCTTTTTCTTTGACGATAGTGGTCCTGACAGAAACATTGATAGAAAGGTATGTAATGGATGTTAGTACAATATTTACACAACTATCAATTCTTTGTTGAACAATTACCAAGCAATGCTTAATTTTGTTCTGTCTGTGGTGTAAAAAGGTCACATTAGCAACTAAAGAAAAAACACGCAAGCAAAACATGGCCAGGTCAAAGTGTCTGAATAATTTTTGGTCCCAAATTCTTATCAGTTTTACTGGTAGTTCACTGTATGAAGACTTTTTTGGGTATAATACGCCACAGTTTACTTTATTTTGCTATAGTACATAAATGAACTGAAGTGTCCTGCACCCACTAGTAAAAAAAATATCAAAAATTATATCTGGTGTCTGAATAATTTCTGGTTTGACTGTAGATACACACATTCACACACACCAAGCATTTACTACTACATGATGAGGGATGATAATATTATATTATGTTTCTGAATAATTTTTGGTCCCAAATTTTTTGTGATCAATTGCACTGGTAGTCCAATGTATGAAAACTTTTGAGTATAATATGTCACAGATCACTTTATTTTGCTATCCTCACTTACATAAATTAATTATAGTGTCCTGCACCCAATAGTAAAAAAAAAATTCAAAAATGATACCTGGTGTCTGAATAATTTTTGGTTTGACTGTGGATTAATTCTAGTTAAAACTACAAAGTAATTCAGTCAAGAGCAGTGAGCAATTTTCTTTTTTTCATTTTCTTGGATTAACAGCAGCTAGTAAATTAGACACGGTCACTTTAAGAGACAATGCATCCATTATAATGATACACATCCAATTTCTTTCTCCACTGTTTACTTTCACTTCATACATAACCGACAGTTCTTTCGAGGATACTCTTCAAGAAGGGTATTTTGACATAATTTTGTATGCACTTGTTGGTACAAGAGCAAGAAGAGGCGAATTCGGTGTTCAATCGCTTTGAGACGCATCTCTCTGTGTGCGTGCTGTGCACACAGAACAAATTGTGAAAAAAATGTGAAAGCTGAATTGGGCTCTTTCACATTTTTTCTGTTTGCATGTTTGAACTGCGATTTGTATTTGTTCGTTCAGGTGCAGAAGGAGAGCTCGGTTCGGTGTTGCTGTCCGTGAGACGCGGCTCTCTGCGTGCGAGTACTTGGTGGAGTTTTTCCGCATCTTGTGTTTGAATGCTTTAAACTCTTTTGAATGTTTAAATTGGCAAGGCTTAAAAACCTGTGCAAATGATAAGCTTTAGTGCCGACGAGCAGCAGTGACCCGTCAACTGTCCTGAGCATCTACAGGTGCATCTCAATAAATTAGAATGTCGTGGAAAAGTTTATTTATTTCAGTAATTCAAGCCTCAGCCAGTCGGTTGAGATCGCTGTGGGCCCCCCCTCAGTCGTGGGCCCCTATAATTGTCACCACCTTTCACCCCACTAGCGACGGCCCCGAGCATGAACGGTATATGAGCGGAGCACACGCGCATAGAGCGGGAAAATGAAACCTGACCACGTGAAAGTGAAACCTGAGCGGTGAACTAATTTTCGGCAGCCGGAATTTCGGTGCATGTCTAATTATTGGCGACATCAGAAATGGATATTATATAATAGATACTTTTTTGAACATTTTAGCAATTTAAAATATTAAAAAAGGATTGGGAAGTTTGGGAAACACTGCTCTAGTGTTCCACCACATTCACTACAATTATTACGTGACATGAGAAAACACACACCGACATTAAGGATATGTCATTTTGCAGCATATTTCTTGATTTATCAATCATTATGATATTGTAATCATAAATATATATTTAATATAGTATACATTTATATAACCAGTACTGTATATGAATATACAAAATACTCATTTACAAACATCGACACTTTCACAATGAACAAAAATATCCCCTTATAACAGCAGTTTTTATACTAAAGACTGCCAAAAACAGTACATGTATGTTTATTCTTAAATGTGTGCAACACACAATGTCAGCACACCACTGGTCAAGGAAAATCTTTCCATAACCCCCTGCTTTGGTACGTCAATAACTATTCATAATAGTGATAAACCTACAGATAACTAATAAACCTACCAAGATTAAATGACAAACAGTGTGCACTGCAGAGGTAGGCACATTGTTCTCTCTCTGTGATAAATCACACTAACATACCTGTACATGTTACAAAAAGTTAAACTGTGCGGCATCTAATAGTCGAACAAGCACCGAAACTGGTTTTTTAATCACATGCTTATGTATTTGATCTGCTTATTGATTATTCGTTAAATACACAGAACTGGTTTTAAAACACAGAACAAGGGGCTTAAAAGAAAAAGGACCCAGGGCCAAAAAAAGAAAGATTTCTAGTAAAACCGTTGTATTTAACAGAAATGTAGTACCTGATATCATAACTCTTGATGCTCTGAAAGGTGTCTTGGTTACATTGCAGCATCTTTGTTTGTTGTAAAGCCGTACAAAACTGTTTTAATAAAACACTTAACTTATAACAGGCTCAACAGTTTTTGAACAACAAAGAAAGCGAATCTATTATGCCCTAAAGCATTAATTAAAACATTTCACAAACTATTAAATTTTCTGTTTCCAGAAAAAGAGTAAAAATTCAAACACAGCCTTGGCTGTACGTCAAAGTGTTGTGGTCTTATCGGATCTCAAGATGAGTCTGTGAGAGATGCTTTCAGCTGGAAACAGTTAAATAAGTCACACACTGTTGCATAGACATCTTTGTATTTCTTATCAGAGAACAGCGAAAGGGTGTCCATGTCAGCAATATGCTTAAAAAATGTAAGATATTAAAAAAAGGAAAAATTTAATTCTATTCCAATTATAATTTAGCTATGGAAAAAATTAAATTAAACATTAAATCATAATACTGAAAGAAATGTAATTTCATGAAGGTAAAGTATTTTGTTTTTTAAAGCCACTGGATCCATTGTTATGTAACATGTTACACTTGAGAGCTACAAACAAATGTCCTTGATTGAAAGTCATGGACAGATTTCTACATTTCCTCTTGATAGAATTGCATTTAATGTACTATGTTAAGCCACAGTGCAAATACCACATTAAAAAATGAATACACTAACTATCAGGAATTGTGTAACGATTCAGTTGTGCATTATAAGGAAAGAGACTAGATTTAACTCATTAAAAGTCATCTTGGTCCATACCCTTACAATTCATTCACTGTCCCTTTATGATTGGGCCCACCTGTGCGTATCCTTTCCTGAGACAAGGACTATGATTGTAAGAAGGTTATTATGGAGCTGATGAAATCCAAAGGCTTGTCAGCATGAATCCAGTGACTGGCATCTGGGATGTACTGGATATCGGCACAAGGAAAGAGCCTCTGGATTTCAGGGTAATCTTCCGAGCTAAGAGAATAACAAGGGGTCCATAGCAAGAAAACAGATGTATGCTTAAAGCTGCAGTCCGTAAGTTTTGCCTCTTTGTCGCCATCTCTGTTTGAAAACCTGGATGCATTTAAGACATTCAAATATTCACAAGTAATAGAAAGAGATTCAGTTAGCACATGTGAACGTACAAGTAGTGGTTAAATTTACCTTATATAGGCTGAACTACTGCCACCCAAGAAAAGAGTTGGACCCTCATAGGTGTTATTAAAATCAGGAAAACCCATGATGTCTTCTAGGTGGTTTGAGATGGCTTCCAGGTTAATCCTCCAGCCATAGTGACCATTTTGCTCCTCCAGGTTAGTAAGGAGGAACTGACGCACTGAACGCTCCTGCAAGCAACATAAATGTGCCTGATTTATTCTATAATTGCAATAAAAACACCAAAAACGATAAAAACATTAACTGATAAAAGTCCAAACTCTTCTAGTTAATTAATACGGTTACCTTAACGATCTTCCTGAGCTGGTCTTCAGCCAGTCTTCGTGCTGTTGAACGTGGGATATTACTGGCTATCTTCACCTCTTTCATTGCCTGAATGTAGGCATGGAAACTGGTGTGGGCTGAAGTCGGAGAGGGACTAATGTCCACGACCACCAAACGTTCCACTAAACTAAGCTGCATTAGATAGACAAAACAGTAAAAAAGTAATACAATTTTGTAATGTAAAGCTGAAATTTGAATGTATCCTTGCTTAATAAAAGTAAAACAACAAAAACTTACTGACCCCTAACTTTTGAACTGTATTATATTTTTATGAAGACTACCAAGATCTATTTTCATGGTATTTTTATCTATAACCCAAACCTTGTCTTGTCATGAAAATGTAGAATTATAAGATACTTCTTATTTGACTTATTGAACTTGGCACACAGTAATGAATGTTTCTGCATGGTGGCTGTACCACATGATTTTGATTTGGCAGAAAAAAAATCCAAAACTGCTTAATTTCTAAGACATAATACTATATTAAATAACAATGCCATACTACTTAAATTAGTCTTTTTATCTTCATTGTGATATGGCAATTGTATCACCATGCAGTTTTTGATTTCATGCCCCTTGAAAAGATCAAAATTAATTTTAATTCATACATTTAAAATCAACCTCATAAAAGGAATGCACTCAAGTCACTGTATGCATGAATTGCATTTTCATGTCATTGACCCTTAGCCTAACAGAAGACCTAAAAGATGTTTCAATATGCTACATACAGTACAAACATGAAATAAATTATACAGCATTTAATACCTGTGACAAAGCTGTTGTCATTGCAACCTTGCCACCCATGCTGTGTCCAATCAGGACACACTTCCCAATGTGCAGCTGTCCAAGCAGATGCGTCAGATCGTGAGTCATTGCTTCGTAGGTCAAGACAGGACTGTGTGGGCTTTTGCCATGGTTGCGAGCATCTACTGTCAGCACCTAACTAGACAAAATACAGTCAGGACACTCGCACAGACTCTTCTGACGCCCACAGCACCTCTAAACCACTGGAGAACCCGGAGGCATACCTTCCTGCCAGTCCGCTGAACCAGGGACTTGGCTATGGAGTGAAAGTTTGATTTGCTCCCAAATAAACCATGAAGGAACACCAATGGCGTGCTGTCTCCTTTCCCATCAAACACATCGTAGGTCAAATTTACAGGGCTAAGAGAGAGCAAAGCAGACAGAGATGAAGACTATCACACAATCAAACCAATGACAATTATGACAGCTTGCTTTCAGAAGAGATCAGGATTTAATAACACGTTATTTTAAGAAAAGATATGTGTTGACTACACACATGGGCCTTGTTTATAGAATCATAAGAATAGAGTTCTAGCTAATGTATACCTTTATTTATGTGACCATCACCTGTAAATAGCCAAAACAGACCATAACATAACGTTATATAATTAGCTTTTTTGCTTTGGTTTGACTCTTCCCCCCTCCCTCCCTCTTAATAACATACCTACACCTGACTAATTTACTAATGCGGTACAGAATACATGGATATCTACTTAAAAAAAATTTAATGAATGAACTTTTTGATGTAGCAGCCCTCTCTCTCACACATGTAGTCCTGTGTAATTAACAGTATTTGATCCGGAACATTAAAGGTGCAACACCTGTCACTGCCAGCACGGTCCAGTCGCGAGACTCCGCTGCAAAAATCCCGAAGTCCCGTTACAGATAAACAAGACGACGGGCCGCAATACACTCCCCTAGTTAAAATACGGCACAGGGCACTCATGGCAAAATTTGACATGCTAAAACCTGTGTCCGGACTTCATTCGACCGGGGTTGGCCACTTTAAAGGTCGTGATGTTGTTTAGCTAACACTAGGGAAGCCGCACCACAGTGTTGCCAGATCTCTCTGGAAAAATAAAATAAACATAAACGTATAATTGAAACGTGTACAAAACATACACTGAATAATTATCAGAAGTTAAAATGTATTTCCAGTTCTTTTGAAAAAAACAATTATTTGTAAATGTGTCACATACACAACTAGCCAGCTAAATCAATCGCTCTTTTGCACTCACATCTATAAGTTACTAATACGCATACACATCATTCGGGTAGTTTGAGCACTAGTAATCCTAAAAACGTGACTCTATTTACATGAAATTGTATGATATATGTTTAATATGATATTTATAAGCAACTTAGTGCGAAAAACAACAACAACCTGAAGGGGATTGAAATAAACGGTCATGGCAACACCGCAGAAAGACAACCCAGTCCGTGATGTCACTACGTCGTGCGTCTGTATGCCTGCAAACATAGTGACATTTCACACACCACAACTTTGGACATAACATTTAGTGTGTGACTATGCACGTACACGAGAGGCAATCAGTTAAAGTGGGGGAAGATAAAAGAAAGAGAGGAAAATATATTTGGATAAATCAGAAAGCACTGCTTATGGACCAGTATGACCAGATAGTGGCGCCACAGACCACCTTTATAATCGACAGTTTGCTTTCATGTACTGCAAAGAAGAGAACTGATCGTTAAGAAAAGCTAAACAATTTAAATGGAACAATTTTTTAAACTTACATTAGGATAAGCCCTATATATATTAACACTTTTTGCTGAAAATTCTTTATCAAATTTGGTTCCAAGCCTACAAAAATAGCTTATTTCTTATTATCTAATTATAATAATAATTGTTATTATTATTATTATTATTATTATTATTATTATTATTATTAAGATCCTTTGTTGTTGTTGTTGTTGTTGATGATGATGATGGTGGTGGTGGTGGTGGTGGTGGTGTATAATGCGTGAGCAAAGTCAGTAATTTTTAGTGCAATGGGAAAGAAAATCTTTTGGTCAAAATAACCAGAACACAACACGAGGCTTAATTCAATTAATAATTAGTATCTTAATTCAGATTTTACTTTTAATATCAAGACGTTTTTTATTAAACAATATATTTCTAAATCAAACTTTATCACTTAAATATTTTCAGTGATAAATGGCAATGTCAAAACACCTCTGCCTAAGCAAATGAGAACTGAAGTTATGCATTTTAAGTTTATCAGCTGACATCAATTCTTTATTTAAATGTTGCAAAGGCCATTTGAATGTAGACTGTGAAAGATTTTCATATCATCGTCACAAACAAGCTCCCACCAACGTTCTTAATAACAAAACTAGCACAATCCTTCCAATACAATTACCTTTAAATTAGACCTGACAATATTTAATACAATTTAACTTTGCCCCACAAACAAAGAAGACATGTTTTGACATGCAGAAAGCCAAATTAAGGGGAAGTCTACACACAATAGCATGACTAAATGGACACAAGACAAAATATTCCACAGCAAATAATAGGCAGTAGAAATTAAAAGAAGGAAGTATGAAAGTATTATCAATAAGATCCTCAAATAAAAACATTATGGGAAGTTTAAAGACCATTTAGGCCTATTACACTGAATACTTTAAAACATATTTTGTTGGGAACATTTAATGGTTTGTATGTAGTTTGTATACCTTTCTTGGGTCAAAGTAACCAATAATTAAACATGTTTTCTCACATTTACAGGACATAAGCTACTGTAGTTACACCCTTGTTTCATCAGTGAGGGTTCTTTAGGGTTAACTGCTTTCACAGTCCCCTCTTTTATTTAAGACAACTTAAGAGGGCCAACTACTTGTTTATGTGCATCTAAAAAGAAAGTGACAGAGTGAGCGCTTCAGCCTCCTCCATGTCTCCTGCTGCCATAGGCAACCCAGCAGTGGGGATAAAGCAGCTAATGATCACAGTCACCATGGTGAGGGCACATGCAGAAGGGACACACACAATGAGAAAAAAAAATAAGAAAAAAGAACGTTAGCACTGCTGAATAATACACTTTATGCATATCGATCTCTAGAAATGATTAGGTAGGTTTATGTAACAGGCATTTTTTTAAACTTAAAGGTTATATAAGAATGTGCTGTCAAATGATTAATCGCGATTAATTGCATCCAAAATAAAAGTTTTTGTTTACATTATATATGTATGTGTGCTGTGTATATTTATTATGTATATATAAATACACACACATACATGTATATATATTTCAGAAAAATAGGTTGTTTATATATTAAATATATTTATTTAAAATATAAATTATATGAATATAAATATAGACATGTAAATACATGTAAATATTTTCAAAATATATACTGTATGTGTGTGTATTTATGTATACATAATAAATATACATGAACACACACATACATTATGCAAACAAAAACTTTTATTTTGTATGCGATTAATCGCGATTAATCATTTGACAGCACTATGTGTTTTTTACTGAACAGTGTAATTTAGAGAAGTCACCATGAACATGAAGAAAATTTAGACTAGAACGAAGATTTATGTATGGTTTATGCTCTGTTATTATATTAATCAAGAGATCATATTTCCAACAACTCCTCCTTTAAGACCATACTAGTATTTAGCCTACTTTTCATACTGAGAAACATATTTGTCACACACTCTGTAAGTAAAGACTGTAAAAATAGGGCGCAATATAAAATAATATACATGAAGGAACTTTCCGTATTGATTTTTTTACAGGTGTTTTCCTCGTATTTTGAATTACATACTGCATTGATGCATAGTAAATGTCAGTAAAATGTAAGTAAACTACTGGCAGAAAATTACCTGTACCCTTCCTGTATTCCTACTGATTTTTCCCCCCATACAGTGCGTACAGTTATCAGTCAACTAAGGTATTGGTACTTGCTTTAATGTAAATATTCACTGATTTAAAAAAAAAATTCCAGTTAAGAACTCTGTAGAATCATTTTTCTAACAGACATATTCAAATTAAATTTTGTATTTTGTAACTCTCTAAAGCAATCATTATATATTTTCAAAGAGGATTAATCACATTCTATTAATTATATACATTTTATATAATGTGCTAAATCATTTAAAAATGAATTAATACAATTTTAGATGCATATACAGTAAGCATAATTCTCTCAGCCTGCAGTGTTGGTTATCTCAGGAATGTGAAGTAGTTTCCTCCCCTCATGGGAGAGCGTTACAGAAAAGCGGATGTAGCCATTTTCTCTCATTCTTTCCAGTCAACAGACTGAGTCTTTTAACAAAAGGAATGATTTGCAGTCTATATTTGGATAAATCAGAAAGCACTGCTTATGGACCAGTATGACCAGATAGTGGCGCCACAGACCACCTTTATAATCGACAGTTTGCTTTCATGTACTGCAAAGAAGAGAACTGATCGTTAAGAAAAGCTAAACAATTTAAATGGAACAATTTTTTAAACTTACATTAGGATAAGCCCTATATATATTAACACTTTTTGCTGAAAATTCTTTATCAAATTTGGTTCCAAGCCTACAAAAATAGCTTATTTCTTATTATCTAATTATAATAATAATTGTTATTATTATTATTATTATTATTATTATTATTATTATTATTATTAAGATCCTTTGTTGTTGTTGTTGTTGTTGATGATGATGATGGTGGTGGTGTATAATGCGTGAGCAAAGTCAGTAATTTTTAGTGCAATGGGAAAGAAAATCTTTTGGTCAAAATAACCAGAACACAACACGAGGCTTAATTCAATTAATAATTAGTATCTTAATTCAGATTTTACTTTTAATATCAAGACGTTTTTTATTAAACAATATATTTCTAAATCAAACTTTATCACTTAAATATTTTCAGTGATAAATGGCAATGTCAAAACACCTCTGCCTAAGCAAATGAGAACTGAAGTTATGCATTTTAAGTTTATCAGCTGACATCAATTCTTTATTTAAATGTTGCAAAGGCCATTTGAATGTAGACTGTGAAAGATTTTCATATCATCGTCACAAACAAGCTCCCACCAACGTTCTCAATAACAAAACTAGCACAATCCTTCCAATACAATTACCTTTAAATTAGACCTGACAATATTTAATACAATTTAACTTTGCCCCACAAACAAAGAAGACATGTTTTGACATGCAGAAAGCCAAATTAAGGGGAAGTCTACACACAATAGCATGACTAAATGGACACAAGACAAAATATTCCACAGCAAATAATAGGCAGTAGAAATTAAAAGAAGGAAGTATGAAAGTATTATCAATAAGATCCTCAAATAAAAACATTATGGGAAGTTTAAAGACCATTTAGGCCTATTACACTGAATACTTTAAAACATATTTTGTTGGGAACATTTAATGGTTTGTATGTAGTTTGTATACCTTTCTTGGGTCAAAGTAACCAATAATTAAACATGTTTTCTCACATTTACAGGACATAAGCTACTGTAGTTACACCCTTGTTTCATCAGTGAGGGTTCTTTAGGGTTAACTGCTTTCACAGTCCCCTCTTTTATTTAAGACAACTTAAGAGGGCCAACTACTTGTTTATGTGCATCTAAAAAGAAAGTGACAGAGTGAGCGCTTCAGCCTCCTCCATGTCTCCTGCTGCCATAGGCAACCCAGCAGTGGGGATAAAGCAGCTAATGATCACAGTCACCATGGTGAGGGCACATGCAGAAGGGACACACACAATGAGAAAAAAAAATAAGAAAAAAGAACGTTAGCACTGCTGAATAATACACTTTATGCATATCGATCTCTAGAAATGATTAGGTAGGTTTATGTAACAGGCATTTTTTTAAACTTAAAGGTTATATAAGAATGTGCTGTCAAATGATTAATCGCGATTAATTGCATCCAAAATAAAAGTTTTTGTTTACATTATATATGTATGTGTGCTGTGTATATTTATTATGTATATATAAATACACACACATACATGTATATATATTTCAGAAAAATAGGTTGTTTATATATTAAATATATTTATTTAAAATATAAATTATATGAATATAAATATAGACATGTAAATACATGTAAATATTTTCAAAATATATACTGTATGTGTGTGTATTTATGTATACATAATAAATATACACAGCACACATACATATATAATGTAAACAAAAACTTTTATTTTGTATGCGATTAATCGCGATTAATCATTTGACAGCACTATGTGTTTTTTACTGAACAGTGTAATTTAGAGAAGTCACCATGAACATGAAGAAAATTTAGACTAGAACGAAGATTTATGTATGGTTTATGCTCTGTTATTATATTAATCAAGAGATCATATTTCCAACAACTCCTCCTTTAAGACCATACTAGTATTTAGCCTACTTTTCATACTGAGAAACATATTTGTCACACACTCTGTAAGTAAAGACTGTAAAAATAGGGCGCAATATAAAATAATATACATGAAGGAACTTTCCGTATTGATTTTTTTACAGGTGTTTTCCTCGTATTTTGAATTACATACTGCATTGATGCATAGTAAATGTCAGTAAAATGTAAGTAAACTACTGGCAGAAAATTACCTGTACCCTTCCTGTATTCCTACTGATTTTTCCCCCCATACAGTGCGTACAGTTATCAGTCAACTAAGGTATTGGTACTTGCTTTAATGTAAATATTCACTGATTTAAAAAAAAAATTCCAGTTAAGAACTCTGTAGAATCATTTTTCTAACAGACATATTCAAATTAAATTTTGTATTTTGTAACTCTCTAAAGCAATCATTATATATTTTCAAAGAGGATTAATCACATTCTATTAATTATATACATTTTATATAATGTGCTAAATCATTTAAAAATGAATTAATACAATTTTAGATGCATATACAGTAAGCATAATTCTCTCAGCCTGCAGTGTTGGTTATCTCAGGAATGTGAAGTAGTTTCCTCCCCTCATGGGAGAGCGTTACAGAAAAGCGGATGTAGCCATTTTCTCTCATTCTTTCCAGTCAACAGACTGAGTCTTTTAACAAAAGGAATGATTTGCAGTCTATATGCAACAGGATCTATCTTGCCAAATAAAAAAGTAACCATAAAATTGATAATCAGAGGGCAAATTTCACTCCTGGCATTTTCTTCGCCTTCTTCTCCCTAATCAATGCAGTATTATGTTTGATTACAGCTATTATTCACTCAGTGTAAACTAAAGGAGACAGGTTCAAAGGTTAAGGTCAGATATGCAACTGAAAGATTTCTTTATCATAATATTTCCAATTATATTTTAAGATAAACACTACAAAACACGCCTATATATATATGTTCCATAAAGGTGGTGACGTGATGTCATACAACTCATTCTGTCCCTTTGAGAAAATTAACTACATTATTAGTGTATAATGGGTCCTGCAGGGTGATGTTGAGCCACACGAAATTACCTTTGGTTGAAGGTTAGATGCAATGCAGTAGCTTATAATATGTGTTCAGTTGCTTAGTTCAGTTTTACACAAATGTAGCATACATAAAAACACTGTATACTATGGATATTGCTGGCTGTGACAGATTGCTTCAGAGTTGAGATGTGTTCCCCAGTTGTAAGCTGCTTTGGATAAAAGTATCTGCAATATCACATAAAATACATATATAAAATGCAATGAAAACTATCCCCCCCCCCCCCCCCCCCTCTCTCTGTCTCCCCCTCTCTCTCTCTTCCTGTCTTTTCCATCCTCTCTCTCTCGCGCTCTCTCTCTCTCTCTCTCTCTCTCTCTCTCTCTCGCTCTCTCTCTGCCAGCTGTAGAGCTCTCACACACATTATGTAAGTATCTAGCACTTCTCTCTCTGTAAAGCAGAGCGTAGCTCTTATATTTCATCTGCCATGTCATGGGACAGGTATGGAAATGAATGCGCGTGTGATGTTTATTTGCATATGTAGGTAGTTTACACAAGTATGTGTGTTGCTGTTCAGAGTGTCACTGGGTCACAATGCCATTCTGTTGTCTCCTATAGAGACTGAGTGAGGGACATCTTTCTAAAGTGTCTGCAAAATCGGACAAGTGAGTATTTTTCCTCTTTGTGCAACTGATTATTTGAATGTATTTATTATGCAGGGGCTGCTGGATTGAGTGTGTTAGTGCTCTAATGTGTGTCTCTTCAAGAGTTGCTTGTACATATTGTTAATTATTTGTTTAGGAGTCCCTTGTTGCCAGTAGCAGAGGAAGAGGAGGCCATGCCAGAGGCGGCGGAGGTGATATCAACTGGGGTGAACTCACCAGGTAGGAGGAAATACACTTGAGGACGTTCCCAGTTGACCTTTTAAAAAGAGATGTCAAATGTACTGCTTCTGACGACTGCAATTGAATACACTTCTTTGTCAAAATGAAGTTGATTAATGGAAATGCAGATTTGCCAATGTCTTTTTTTTTTTTTACGTTAAAATTAATCTATGAACAATATTGACAGGAAAAAGAGAAAATGGGAACTGTTGTTCATTTATTTGTTTTCATTTCTGACTGATTACTTGAATATTTACATAAGAAAACTTAAAGCGATGTGTTCAAAAATTGACAAACGCTTGAAGGCTGCATGCCATTCTAATTTAATTTGTTAATATTTATATTCATGTTTTGCTTTTTAAATATGTTCAATAGCAATTTGGCTTTTGCTATGGTTTTGAAATTGAGTGTGAATTATGAAAGTCTACATTAACATTACTCTCACCTTGTCTGCTCACTAGGTTTCGGATCAGAGCTGCTATTTAAGTGTCTTTTCTTTCTTTATTTTTCTTTTTAGACAAAGACAAATCAGACAGCAAAAGGACAGTGGTCACATCTGATTCAAACTCCGCAGCCTCAGCTGACTCATTGAAGGATCCTTCTGAAAAAGCGAAGGACATGACCTTTGACCCCACAGTCAGTGAGGGTAATCTTCCAACAATCTCTGCTGTGCAAGGCTCCAAAAAAGACCCTCTGACTCTGAGGAACAAGCTCAAGAAGGTAAGAGCCATTCTCACTAGAATCTATGAACTAAGCAAAATACAACAAAAGCCTGGAGAATCTGGTCCTACCTGCTTTGCCAAGTATTTTCATTTTAATTACACGTGATTGTGTTCTTATTAATAAATGTAACATGCCGTCTAATGCCCAGTGTGAACTATATGCTGAACTTGACATGCCTGGGTTGTACATTTAAAATGAAATGGTCCTCTTACAGGAAATGAGCAGTATGGAAGCCATTGAGGAGCCTCTTGTTATGTGCAGTTACTGTGTAGTTTTTTAATATAACATTGAATGAATTCTCACAAAAAAGGAACATTTAATTTGAAAGGAGCACATTTTTGGATACTGGATACATCCACTTGTAAACTCCTCCCTCCCACCCCCCTTTTCTTCTTCTTTCTTCTTACTGCTTCTTCCTCTTCTTGTGTTAATTAGCCTATTTGAAGGCAAAAAATGTATGATATTATAATACGATATATATACAATAATATATTGCTCTGTAACCAGTTTTATTACTGATAAATGTTTGCTCACAGTCATATGACAATATGCAGTTTTGAGAATGAATTGACTTTATTTTCTGTTTTGCAAATTAACAAAGAATGACGGGAACAGTAATGTTTTTATTAAGTATTACACTTAGCTAATAGTTTAATAAAGTTACAACAGGATCTTGGAAACGGCACGGATTTTTCTGGAGATATCTAACTGAAGAATATGGAATTATGTTACAAAGCACATTATTGTTGGCTGTTCTAGTTCACCTGCAGTGTAGAAAATGAAACCACGTGACCGAAACCATAGCAGGTGAGGAGATATATTTGCTTATGTTTCTCGAGACTTCTTGGCGGAGGTCTGCTTAAATGGCATGGGGTCAGTTCTTCTCAGTCATTTCACTTTGAACCCCCATGCAAAGACATAGCAGCAACATATTTATTTGGTTGAACAAATTAGACTTTTGCGTCAAATATGGGCTCTTTGTAGGCTACTTTTTTAAATGTAGCCTATTTAAATGTGTATTGTTGTGTTCTTTGTCTCATATTCATTCCCAGCCAGGTGTCAAATAAAAAAGCATTCGCTAAGACGGGACCCAAGATCACGTGACCATAACCTGCCAATTCCCTAGTTGACTAAAATTATTGTTTTATTGAAATGTATTAATTTATACATACATACATTATTCGTTCACAAAATAAAATGTATGTAGCGTATATATGTCACCATATACATAATGAGTAAAATATTTAGTCTTTACATACGTTTAAAAGTAAATCCCATTCATTTCTTAGGGCCTTTAAACTCTTCCTCATTCTCTACACCTAAAACAGCAGCAATTCATTTAATTCTACCCAAAGGTTTACTTATTGTTGTTAAAATGGATTTCTTCAACATGCAGACAAAAGCACAATAATGTTTGTGTTGCTGTCTGTTATATTTATAATAATAATAATAATAATAAATGTATAATTACACAAATGTTCTATATATTCACACTAGATGAGTTTTGGATTGAAGGAAGCCTTACAGCAAACACACCAGGTGAGTCATTTTCCTATGTGGAGTTTCCCCTCCCCCTCCGAAAGGGTGAAGAAGAGGGCGTCACCTTGACAGCATTGTCTCTATGGCTACAGCATTATAGAGCACAGGCTTGTATTAATATCCCTTAGGGTTATGTGTTTGCAACTCACCATGGTTTCATGGCCTGTTGCCTGCCTTTGTAATAGAACTCATTACCAAGAGTCTCCATTTCAATCCATAGTTATACATTTTATGAATTGCTAAGAAGATATTCTTTAGCAGGAATTACCAGGAATAATGTAATTTGTGCTTAAAGCAGCATGTGGAATTTCATTTTGAATTCATAGTTTAGTTTGTGTGCAACTTTCTTTATATTTTATACGATGCTCAATGTGCATCAGCTGAAAAGATCTAATCGACTCTTAGAGCATAAATTCTGTTTTTATTGCATTTATTTTGAAATTACAATGGGATTAAATACAGACATCCAGTATATGCATAAGGTAAACTAAACATTTTGTGCCTTATAAGTTTTCTTTCCAAACCCCATCCCTCTACTCCTTGCCAGTTAATCAGACTGGTTTTGGTTGGATCTGTCTGTCACCACCTATAGCAAACAATACAGCTTGCCTAAGGTTTGTAAACCGAGTGGTCGCTCTCAGAATGTGTCACATTACTGCCCTAATTGTACAACAAAGGGCCAAACAGGTACAACCACTCCAACAGCCTATTGTGTGCTGTAACTGACCATTTGTTTTATACATAAGCTATTGAACTGTTTTACTTTTCCGCACATTCAATTTTGATCATATAAAAGCAACACAATTGACAAATATTTAAATTGGTTATCTAGAAAACACACTCGAGAATGTCTTTTAAATCTGTAAAAATATCTATGAATAATAAAACAATTGTACAAAAATGTGTAACTATACAGAAAGGAAACGACGTACAACCTCAAAAACTGAAAACTAAAAGGAAAAACAAAATACATGTTCAGTTTCTGTGTCCAGTGAAATTTTCATAAGCAAATACATGTAAAGAGCTAAAGAGTCTTCCTCTTCCTGTCAACATACATAAGTGACTGATAAGCCATCAGACTGACACAGCGACTGTTTTCCTAAAATAATATTTATTATATATATTACACATATATATCTTTGCCTATTTATGTCTGCTTAGAACCATTTTAAATATACATTTTGACACCATGTTATGCCTTTGATGACCTTTGGGTATCACATGACACAAAAAGCAAGAACAGCTGAACAAAAAACAGGAAAATGTAAATAACAGAATATAAAATATTATAAATGTATATGAAATGTATAAACACAAAATCCCTGACAGGTAAGCCTATGAAACCTGCCCTTAACGTGCGCACACACACACACACACACACACACACACACACCAGTCTTAAACTGCCGAAAAGCTAATATTGACAGCATCGTATGACCCTTCATTGCGGAGTCCTTTCAGAAGTATCTCCACCCTTTCTGTGAGATCTTCAAATCCTTCTAATTATTCTTTGTTTGTATTTTTCTACAATAAAACATTTTTAAACATAGTCCTTCTTGTCATATCCACCACTGACGGAGCGTGGAGCGGAGTAGCCCATTCTTGGTGGCTTGTACTTCTTCTCCCGTGGAGGACAGGTGCAGCACAGCATCGCTCCTCCAATCAGTAACAAAGCAGCGGCGGCAAACCCTATGTAGATGCATGCCCCAAGCTCTCTTTGCTGAGCAGTGGTCAGTAACGGGTTGTAGAAGTCCCGAATGGTTTGGTGTGCCACCCAAGCTGCTGGAATGAGCTCCAGGATGCCGGCAATAATGAACATCACACCAGAGATGATCATCACTTTAGCCTTGGATGCTTCATCCTCGATACAGTTGGTGCACTTGGCGCCCATGATGGAGATCAACACGCCCAGGATGGCCAAGATGATGGCGACGACCGACATGGCTCTGGAAGCCTGAAGGTCCTGAGACAGAGCCAGCATGGAGTCGTAGACCTTGCACTGCATCTGTCCAGTGCTCTGTACGACACAATTCATCCATAAACCTTCCCAGATGACTTGTGCCGTGACGATGTTTGCGCCAACGAAAGCCGAAACACGCCACATTGGAAGAACGCAAGTGACAATGCTAATGATCCAACCGATAATGCCCAGGGCAATGCCCCCGATCTCCATTCCCATCGACATGATGCCGTTTAGGGGTACTTTTTTTACCTAGGAAAAGGAGATGTATTTTAGTTGTGTCGAGTTATACACAAATAAATGCTGTACTAACAGAAGATTAAATAATGGAGGGAGGAATGTCATTTACCTAGTGCTGAGATGTCGATATTGATGTCTGCGTCCCAATTCTTCCTTTCTTTGTGTAGCCGGTGAAAGTGCTGTGAAGCCAAGCAGCCTTTATATTCCCAAAGAAACAGGTGTGAGTGGAGGAGGACCTTAACGTGATGACATAGAGGATGAGATACAGATTTGTGCACGTCACCTGCCTGCTATGGCCACTGCTGGGAGAAGAACAATATGCTGGTTTTGGCTTTCCCTTGTAATCTAATTCCTACTAACGTTGTGTGGAGTAGAGAAACAGGCTCAGCCAGGAAAAAGCACCTGGAAGAACAAATCAATAATCAAGGGGGTGGAGCAGAGGGCTAATATTTCACCTGAATCACACTGGAGATGTTAGTGATATTGTATATGAGGGATCTCCAACTTTCTAAAGATTCAAGACAGTTTTGATGAACGGATTTTATTGACTGACTTCAAAAGTGTGTTTTTGGTTTTTGTGAGTATGAGTTGGTGTTGGGTTTTTACAGATGTACAGAAAAATCATTATTGTTGACTCTGTTTCCTCTTCTTGGTCTACAGCATTATAAAACAGGATAAACAGGCTTTAGTTATGTAACTAATGGGTTATTTTAGTGTCTGAAATATACTGTATCTTAAAAGCTAGGCTATTTGCATGCTATGGAAACAAACCCAAAACATTATCAGAATATGCCATTTTAAAGGAGTGCTGAGATTTATGAGAGGAAATTTTATTCATTAGATTGTACTACTGTCACAAACATTGGAAATATGTCTTCCCAAGACATACAATATTGCATTACTCCCTAAAAACTGCATTACTTAGTTACTTTTAATGGAAAGTAATGCATTGTTACTTTCATGTTACTTTTTCTAATCTGGGCTGGGCTTGCTTGTTTGTTTTTAATATAAAAATTTATATTTTTGGCAAATGTAAAAGCCCTTTCACAACAAAAGTGAAATTAATAAACCTCAGCCATTCTGGATTGCATGAAGCATAGAATGCAGGAGAAGAAAGTTCAACACTCTTCAGCAATAAAAAAACAAGAAAAAAAGAAAAACAAATGCCATGTTTATCTTAAGTCATTCTTGCTTATTAATACGTTTGAATTGCATCACTGAAGGTCAGCAGCAAAGATATTGGTTAATAAAATGGGATTAAATACATAAAAGATATTTGTGTTATTTAATACATTTAATTATAGGTTTGCATTTCACTGTTTTATTCATTTTGAGGAATACTGAATCAGTTTTTGTGCATGTGAGATGAGTATGAGTTTGTGTGGTGGAGCAGGGTTGGAACTAAACTCTGCATGGGATGCGGCCTTCCAGGAACTGAGTTTGACACCCCTGGTCTAGATCTACAGCAACCATCATGTTTACACATTGCACACAACGCCTTTGCACTTACTCCAGATTTCTCTCAACATGGGGACAGGAGA